GGTGGTCACCAGCAATCCTTGGTTCTCCTTGGTTTGCAGCCACATCAGTCCAATTTCCGCCTCTGCCTTCACAGAGCCTTCTTCCCTGTGTGTGTCCCAATTTCCCTCTTAGAAAGATACCAATCACTGAATTTATGGCTGACCCTAATCTAATATGACCTCATCTTATCTTGATTACAACTGCAAAGATCCTATTTCCAAATAAAGTTACATTCATGGGTTCCAAGTAGACATGAATACTGGCAGGGGCAGGGGATGGGGGACACTATTCAACTCAACAGACCTCAAGATGCTTTATTTAGGGGGCAACTCACCAAAACAGGAGCTAAAGCGAAATGTGAGCATTTCTGATTCTTACTCAATGTGAATCCTAGAAAGTTTTAAAACCTCTATTAAGCTTCTCAAAATTTGATTCAGAGCATTTGTTAAGCAGTGTTTGATGATTATATTCTACAGCTAGATTCTCTAAAACACATTTAATTTTTGGTTGCCTTAGCAATTAAACTAAACAGATGAAGACATTTCAGTTTCTTCTTTTTCTGATGTTTATAACAAAAGAATTTCATTCCTTAGCTATTTCTCTCCCAATTTGCTGTCACGCAAAGGAAGGTGAGGTGGTAGCTCAATGTAACTAAGCGCACTAGAGCCGAGTCCCTGGCTTGTCACTTCCAGACTAGTGCTCTGCTCTTTGGTGTTCTCACCTAGAAAAGGGATCAGCAAACTACTGTTATGGGCCACCTGGCTTACCACAAAAATTGCCTGTTTCTGTACATAAAGTTTTATTAGAGAAGAGCTGCCATACTCATTCAGGTATGTACTGTCTATGGACCGCTTTCCCACCTCAACAGCAGAGTTGAGTAGTTGCAACAGTATGTACCACAAAGCCTAAAATATTTACTGTCTGGCCCTCTAAAGAAAAGAAGTTTGGTGACCCCAATAAAAAAAGATGGGGCTTCACCAGAAAAAAATTCCTGAAATCTCTTGATTGCAGTTCTCTGACAGGGAATGGAGAGGAATGTTTTTTATTCCAGAAGCACCAGCAGGATAGCATTGACAGTTTTTGATATTTGCATTTCAATATTTTAGCCACGTCTTAAAATCTTTAAATTCCTTGACGTAATTTTGAAATGTTTCTTATTGAGAGTCACGTCTCAAGTATGGAGGTAAAGTCAAGCGTATTTCAGTGTTGCTGAAAAGGCTCCATTCTGTTGTTTTAAACAGTCCGCAGACAGTCCAAATTAAATTCCCTTGGCAGCCAATTAAAAATGCTAATATTTAAATATTCTAAATAATATTCTAAATTTAATATTTAAGTATTAAACCATATGCATTATAAGTGCTAAAATTTTCTTAAAGACATATTAATAAAGTTTTAGAACTTAAAAGTTAGAAAAACAACTTAAAAATTTTTTACAAGTTAACAAATGGTTTTGTGGGCCTCTGGCTTGGAATTTTTTACTGGAAATACAAGAGTGTACTCAGCCAACTTGTCCCTCAGATTGTCAGACAATGCCATTTACATGGTTGTCTGATTTCAAGGTTTTTCCTTGTAAACCTACTAACATATTATCCTTTGGGAGAAGTCACACCATAAGAAGTGCGTCATCTTTTCTTTCTCTTTTGCAGCCAGATACGCAGTATCATCATTTGTGTGCTGTTGAGTATCCTCATCAGGCCCGACCTGGTAGGGGATCTGCAGTGACAGGTGGGACCATGGCTTTTATTTTACTACGATGTGGATATGTTAAGACCCTGCCTTTGTTTTCAATGTTTATTTTCCCTTCCTCCAGATTTTATTAGATTTTGTTTCCCTACATCTTTGTAAATCACCTCAAAATCCTTTTGGAAATGGGATAATAATATAGAGAAGACCTCTATTGGTCAGAGCCAAGTTCCAGATTTGTTTTTCCATATGTAAATTAACTTCTCACCACTCTGGCAAAGTAAGCTCCCTTTTTTTTTTTAATCTAAAAAGAGCTAAATAAGTCATGTTTATAACATTCAAACACTGCATGGATTTTATTATGTTGGCAAAATCCATATTGCTATAGAATAAACTGCTGTGGTCAGTTGACCTGCCAGGCCAAGGTAAAAAAAATTCAAAAATGTCAAGACATGCTGAGTCTGAGTCCATCCCATTAATTTTTTATTTCTAAGTCATATTCTATAGATTGTATTTTCACAGGAGGTGAGAAAATTTAAGGATATCTTAATTCTTCCTATAATGATATATTCACGACCATCAGGATCATTCTCATGTTGTAGATGAAATCAGAAGTATTAGGCAGTTGAAATGTTTCCTGTTAATAAGATTAATCCACAAGTTACATTAAAGTTATCTGCCTCGGGCGCCTGGGTGGCTCAGTTGGTTAAGCGACTGCCTTCAGCTCAGGTCATGATCCTAGAGTCCCGGGATCGAGTCCTGCCGTCGGGCTCCCTGCTCAGCAGGGAGTCTGCTTCTCCCTCTGACCCTCTTCCCTCTCGTGCTGTCTCTCATTCTCTCTCTCTCTAAATAAAATCTTTAAAAAAAAAAAAAAGTTATCTGCCTCAAACCATCTCTGTCATCCAAGTGAATTCTCTTGTTCATTTTCTGTTAGCATTGTTTGGTAGTCTATGAATGCTTTCCATGGATTCTTTCTTGGATTAGTCCTCATAGAGAAGCAATGCTGAGCTAGAGTTAACTACATACAGCCTTGCTGACAGTCATTAACATTTAGATAAGTCAAACAGACATATTAGTCCTTTTTAATCAGTAGCCTTTTCTCTAACAGTTCATTTTTTTTTAAAGATTTTATTTATTTGAGAGAGAGAGAGAGAACGCAAGCAGGGGGGAGGGGCAGAGGGAGAAGTAGACTCCCCACTGAGCAGAGAGCCCAATTCGGGGCTCAATCCCACAACCCTGGGATCATTACTTGGGCCGAAGGCAGATGCTTAACCGACTGAGCCACCCAGGCGCCCAGTGTCCTCTTCTCTGAAACTAGATTTCATATCTTAATACAATTTTTCTGGTTTTAAGTGATAAAATAATGCAAATGTGGTTTTTATTGCCTTGACAAATATATACTTTACTACTTAGTCCCAGTCTCCAAATTTTTAAGTCCGACTGATAATTGGAGCAAAAAAGCCCTTAGATATGAACTTGAGATTACCAAATCCAGCGTGTCTACTAATGTTACTCTATGATGTCATCTTTGTCTGACAGGTCCTCACTTACATGGGTCTACAAAATCTCAAAACAGAGGTGGACCAGTCTCCAGAACCAGGCAGGCACCATAGGACAAATGAGAAGAACCTGCTCCAGGCTGCAGGGAACATGTGAGAAAAATTCATGGTCAGTGTTCAGTCATCTTGTGATGCAAAGCCTGTATACAAGAGACAACTTAAAACCATCTTCATGAAGTGTTAACCTGATATAACTGAGAAAAAAAAGAGGATCTGCCAAAGATTACATGGATACTGTTTCCCTCTCCAGTTCCTGTCTTCTTTCGGCATAAGTTAATTTATTCCATTGGACTTAAAATTTGTACCCAAAGATGTAACAAATAATTATCGCCAAAACTCATGTTGTCTGTTAACTATGATCAGCTCAATGATTATAGGATTCTATGAGACTATACATACACAAAAAGCAGCAAATAATTGTTTGATAACATTATCACCGGCTTTAGAATACTTCTGCTTGTATGAATTTCTGGAGAGTTGTACTCATTTTTAAGGCATGTTTAGGAGACAGAGCTGTCAAAAATCTGAGTTACTCATCAAACAGATGTCATTCCTAACTTTCTCTTTAGATGTCCAATCTTATAGGTAAAGAGATAATGGAAGGGCTAAGTAACTAAAGACATAAATGTGGAGCGCTGGTATAAAGTAACTTATGTAGTAAGTCATAATGTATATATATTTTCAGATAGGACAGCTCAACCTCACAAGGCCTGCTTCCTATCAGATTATGCTTCTTTTCTTCTTAAAGGACCTAGTGGTCATATACATATATATATATGTATATATATATATATATATTTTTTTTACTATTAAACTCATCTTACCAGATTTTCTCCTTAAACTCTAAGTAAACTTAAAAAATTTATAGAATCTATTAGTGAGCCAGCAATACCTTAACATTTCAGAAACTCTGGTAATTAGTTTAGTATAAACATATCCTAATAGCAGAAGAACAGAACTTCAGCATTCTTCTAATTTCACCATGGACCTTTTTTGGAGGACACTCATAAATGCAGCAGTGGTTTTAACTATGGCTTCAATTTATTTTATTTAAATTTCACTGAACTTTAATTTACTGTAAATCTTCAGAGTGGATAAACTCAATCATAAATAGGGGTAATTTTTTAATTTTATCTAAGTGTACTAATGCTATCATATGAAGACAGATGCTTCAAACAACCTGCATTATATTTTAATACAATTAAAGACTATTTTTTAACATGTTTGTAACCAAACTAAAAATGTGTCATGTGCTTATCTCAGATAAATTATAATACGTAAAACTCAGTAACAGAAAAGTTGTTATATATTCAATGCCATATGCATAAAAGTCTGTTGCCAAAAAATGTCCATATATTCCAATAAGTACATACCAATTTGACTAAATGTAAGTAAACATCTCTATACCATTCTCACAAATCAATACCATGAGTGCATGATAACAAACCACTGGATCAAGATGGCCTGCCTTTGAAAGAGAATCAGAAGGAGCCCTTAAGCAGTCATTTAGCCCAACTCCCTCACCCTTTTATAGATGAGGCAACAAGTTCAAACAAGGTCTGCAACCTGCTTAAGGACAGACTTTCAATAATTACAGATAGGACAACTTCTCTTTATGCTACTTAAATCTGGCTACCCACTATAAAGCTGACTTGGTTTACTTTTCTCTCCTCTCTGAACACCATTCATAGTTTTTCTAGACCATAGTTAAATGATCACTGAGGTCATTTAAAAGACCCCAGAACTTAACAGTCATTTTTAACTTATTTCATCATGTGTAAGTCTTACAAAGATGTCTGAAGTAATCTCAACATCTGTTTCTCCTATATTTCAAGCAAAGAGTACAAAACCGGGCTGAATAAAACAAAAAGGAGAGAGGATCTATTCAAGGATATTAAACATGAAAGCAAACTGGCAAATATTTGAAAGACACATGACCAGCAAGGGTTCTGAAAGCGTTCTAGCTAGGCAGAGTTACTGTTCTAATAAACACAACACTCTGAATACTCTATAGCTGTGCGTAGACTCCTGCGTGGCAAAACGACAACTGCTGAAGGCAGCATGGGACAGACCCACATTCTAGATAAGAGATCCTTGTACAGAAGATCCACAGACGCAAGTGCTGCCAGAAGTATACCATTCTCCCCCATTCCCTCAAGAATCACCAAATTCCTTCATGCAGGACCTCAAAGAATGTCAGGGGACTTCTAGGACTACCAAAATCAGGTTGAGAGATTCTGCTTGGTTCACAGAGTTGAGCTGAATAACTTAGCCTGGAAAGAACTTTTTTCAAGGGCAGGGTTGACTTTTGTCTTCAAATCTTGACTGTATCTTGCCTACAATGGCACCAATTAACACCTAAAGGCTTTTGAAGAGAAAATTCCATTATTTCTTTCCTTTCTTGAGAGGCGTTTTTTTCCCTCCTCGCTTAGAAGGTTTGCAGTACTTTGCTTCCATTTGAGCCAGAAAATTGTCCATTTCCTTTTGCCGATCCTTTTGTCTGCTCTGTTTAAGAAGTTAAAACACAAACTTTCAAAACACAAGGCTATCCAGAGACAAAAATACTCAGTGGTTGCCAGAGGCTGGCGGAAGGGAGAACAGGGAATGACTGCTAATGAGCAAGGGGTTTCTTTTTAAGGTGACAAAAATGTTCTGGAATTAGTGGTTCTACAACCTCATGAATATGCTAAAAGCCACTAAATTATGCACTTTAAAATAAGGATGAAAACATCGTACATGACTTATGTCTTAAAAAAAGAAAACAGAATACCCACAACACTATAACTACAAGAAAGTATTAGCAGTAGGAATCAGAACACAAAATAAGTAGTGACGACCTTCAAAGACAACCTGCCAAGCTTACCTGAATGAGTGTTTTCAAGTTATCTACTCCATCAAGGCCCAACTCCTTCCTGCTTATTTCTGCTTCTTTAGCCTCTTCCTGAGCCTAAAACAGAAACTCATGTTAAGACTCCATGGCAACCTAGCATATACTAAAAATATACCCTTTCCCAAAAGCAAATCTATGGTGACAACCTTTCAATCTGAGGTTTATATCAATTAAAAAAAAAAAAAACCACAATTACATAAATATGTCATTCATTAAAAGACAACACTGCTGAGAGCACGCAGTAGATCCTCTAATTCCAATGAGCATTTCTGAGTTTTCCCCATTTTTACTAGCTAGGGGTAGCAAGTAGTTTAGTATTCATAAACCACATGGTGATAAGAATGAAAACAAAATGCTAGGAGAGGGAAGGTCATTTAACCAAGGATGCCTTCAAAAATGTTGCCAGGATACAGGCATCTCAAATTCCTCTCCTCTCGAAACCCACTTTTTAACTACATGTGACTGGTGGCAGCCTTGAGAGTAACCCTGGTTTAAAATTCCCAAGTAGTCAGAATAAACACTAACAAATTCAGTTATAACCTTTCTTTACCCAATTTCAAAGTCACCTTCTTCTGCCAAATTTTCCTAGGGCACTGATTCCAAAATACCACAAGCATACCTTGGGAAAGGTTAATGAGTTTGTTCTTTCTTTCACGGCAACACCACTATATGATAGATCCCAAACCCCACTAAATTTTCTAAATAGCAATCAACACTATTAATGCTAAGAATACTAACACATTAGGATTTTGTTATTCCAATAAAAAGCAGTTTCCATTGTCTACTTCCAGTCCTTGTATTCAATTTCTCTTAATACTGTATATCCACGGGCGCCTGGGTGGCTCAGTTGGTTAAACGACTGCCTTTGGCTCAGGTCATGATCCTGGAGTCCCGGGATCGAGTCCCACATCGGGCTCCCTGCTCAGCGGGGAGTCTGCTTCTCCCTCTGACCCTCTTCCCTCTCGTGCTATCTCTCATTCTCTCTCAAATAAATAAATAAAATCTTAAAAAAAAAAAAACTTCAATCTCTATTTGGAAATTAAAAAAAAAAAAATACTGTATATCCACTCCCCAGGTTTGCTGGAGTCGCTAAAAAACTATGCCATCCACCTGCCCCCAACTCTAGGAAAGTTTCTCAATATCCTATTATTGGATACAGCTGTGCTCAGTTTCACTGGAGAAAATGATTACCAATTTAAACTGTAAGAGTGCGCCTAAACAGATGTTCCCTATGAGCCAAAAAGACTTTTTTGTTTAAAGTAGGCTCCATGCCCAACGTGGGGCTTGAACTCATAACCCTGAGATTAAGAGTCACATGCTCTACCAACTGAGTCGGCCATGCACACCGCCAAAATGATAATCTTGATACACACTCCACTTTGCTCAACACACACACACACACACACACACACACACACACACACACACAGCTTTCCCCTGTATCTTGTATCAAAACTGCAGACCTACCTCCACCTCTAATTCAGCGATAGAAAATAAGGCACCCTACCCACCAGACATCTGAAATCTTACACTTCTCTCCACTGAGCTCCCACTAGGAAAGCCAGGTTGAGACAATGGTTACTTGAGTACCAGTCTGGTCTTCCCCCAAAAGACCAGAGACACAGATGCTTGCTGTGAATCCATGCCCTCCCAGACCTTCAGCTGTCTGTCCTTAAGCTCCTTTTCCCTGCCATCATCCCTACCCTCACCAACTCCACAGTTTAATAAGATACAGAAGCCACAATTTTTGATTCTTCACAAGTGTTCCTCTCCAAGTGTTTGCAAAGACACTTTCACCAAAATAAACTAAATCATTTGTTTAGAAATGTATATTCTGGGTCCAATTCAACAATCAATCTGGACAAGAACAAAAGAAAATCTGTATTAACAAGGCACAGTCCAAAAAAAGTTTTAGTCACCCTCTCCCCATCTCTTAACCAAGTGAGAACCACTGTCCACCCTATGTATCTGGACTCCATTACTTTATTTCTTGAGGAAAGCCTTGACAAAGCTAAGAACTGGCCCACGTAAAGAGTATTTCAGTGTTATTTTAAGATATTAAAGAATCCACCAAGCAAAATCCTCCTGAGCACAACATACTAGGGAAAAAAAGTTTCTTTTAATGAGCTGGTATGCTCATTTTATTAGAAAAGAAATGAGTTAACCCTTACTCTTTTCTTGGTAATCATATTTTTATTATTGTAAATACCCTCACATTCTTTTTGGAAGCAATTAAGATATAAAAAAAAGCATTCAAAATGCAAGATATAAAAAAAGCACTCAAAATCTTACCCTCCTTTTCCTTGCATTCATCTTTTGCTTTGATTCTTTGACAAAGGCATTATAGGAGGGGATCTCGCCAGCATCAATGGCTTGCTGAATAATGTTCCTTATCCTGGGTTCTTCTGTGTACTGCACACACAGCACAGATTCCATGATCTGATCCATGTCACCCTTGAAATCCAAATAGGCCTGTTTAATATCCGCCAGCTCTTCTTCAGAACCTTTGTATGTCTTTTCAAAAGCTTGAATGTCTTCTAGAGATATCTGAATAAGAGACATATGCTAGAACTCTGAGAATTTTAAATAAAAAAGTATACTAGTAAAGATAAATGTAGGTGTTGAAATGTTTCTTCTCAAACACAATAGCTGCTTGAGTTGAAATTACTGCAAGGAACCACACTTTCTATGCCAAAGCTTTTCCAGCGTTCTCCCAACCTTCACAACTACTGAACTACAGACCCAGAAAATTTAAGGAAAGTTTCCCAGAAGAACTCAAGACTTACAGGTGGATATGTAAAACGAAGCATTATCTTATAAAATATTAAACCACCTTGTCCCCTACAATCGCTTTATATCAACAGGAAATTAAAGACCCATTTCAGTAAAAGTATGTGTGTATGTGTAACGGGTTAACCAGACTTATTCTTCTTCAAAGTTAGCTACAGGTTATCTCCCGAGGAATACTTCCACGTATGTGAATTTTAAGATGAAACAGAAATTCCTCATTCCTACACAACACAAAATGCAATACCTTGAAGGCATTCAATAAACGTTTCTTGAATGAATGACGGGAATAATCACAAAATTTCTAGAGTCCTCTACCTTTTTAAAAAGTAACCTCCAATACGTCTCCCAGTCCCGATCTTGGTTGAGCACATCAGCATCTTCGTCCACTGTTCCCTGCTCATCGTACAATGCTCTCTGTTCTTTGTCGCTCAAAACAGAATAGACTTTCCCGAGGATCTGCGGGTTAAGAGCATCCGAAAGTCACCTTTGCAACCCTCACTGAAACCGCGCTGCGAGAAATAAAGATTAGAATAAACACCAGGCCAGGTTCGGCGCACTCCGCCTAGGCGGGGCCAGGCGGCCAGTGGAGCTGGGGCTCGCGTACCTGGAAGCGGCGGGTGGCGTCCTCTTTGTCGTCGTCGCCGACCCGGTCCGGGTGAACCCGCAGAGACACCTTGTGGTAGCCGCGTCGGACCTCGTCGTCCGAGGCCTCGCGCCGCACGCCCAACACTCGGTAAAGGTCGGCGGTACCGAACACTTCCTCGCACAGCGCCAGCAACCCCATAGCCAGCAGGGAGAGGGAGCGAGAGGCAACCTCCGCACAAACTGCCCGTCCCAGCGACACCCACTAGAGCTCCAGACTGCCCCCTTTTCCCGCGCAAAAATACCCTGGGCGACTGCGTCACAAGAAGCGCCGAATGGGCGTGGCCACGACGTCGCACTTTACGGCGGCTGCAAAACGAGGGCGTGGCCAGAAATTCAGCGGAGACCCGAACAGCCGCGGGAACTTCCTTCTGTGTGGTTAGCGGGGGATCCAGTGCCTCTACGCCCTCCCCTTACTCAAGAAATCTGGCACTTATCTTCTCACCAGTTTCCCAGTGCGTAAGTTCATTCAGTATATGGCACGTCCATATTACGTCGAGGCTATACATTGCTGTTTTGTTTGGCTTTTTTTAAAAGTAAAAAACAGCATAACATCGGCATTTGGCGATTTCACACGGTTCACCATCGTTTAGATTTGTTCTTTTTCAATGATCCTGACAAGAGTACACAAAACTCTAAGATCCGATAATTTTGCAACCTACAGGTTGGGACTCCTAGGTAAGTACTTTCCTAATTCCTGCAAGAAAAAAGTGTAAACAAAGGCGCAAAATACTTTTTAAAAACTGTAACATTTATTAAGAATCATTGCCAATCATCCAGTTCTTAATCACCTTCCACTTTGGTTAAGGTGACATGACCCAAACCCTCATCTGAGTAAAAATAAAGCTGCTGAAGCAAAGGCTTTTTTTTTTTTAAATGAAGAGCTAGGTTTGAGCATGTGGGATTTGAGGTGATAGCAACATAAACTAATGCAATCAACTAAAAGATGGTGAGAAACTGTGTCAGGAAATCCAGAGCAAGGCTAGAGCTAGAGAAAACTGGATTATTAGGAACAGGATGCACTCACACAGGAAGCATGTGTATACAGATCAGAGTAAGGATAGACCAGGGAACAAAGTGAATACTTGAGTTGGCAGAAACTCAATAGCTCAAAATAATACCTTACCTTAACCCATTTCCCAGCAGTTCCCTTCACTGGTCAATACTTCTCATAATCATTCTTCTTTGCTCTACCAATTAAAGCTTATCCAAAGACCTTAAACTCTCCAGAGTATATTATCATCTTTAACTTCCAGAGTTCCCATGGTTTTCATAGCATTTTTCTTTCCCAGATCCATGATCAGATCCACAATCTAATCCAGGTAGTCAGTTTTTCTCAGCCTGCTCTGCCTTCAAAGTCCCCTCAAAGCAAGGGAGGCCAACCAGTGACAACCTTGGGAGAGACTTGACCCCATAATGAGGGTTGTCCTCAATATATAAAACCCAGAAAACAAAAGTTGGTACTTGATAGGGCTTTAGTGTCTCCTCTATAAACTCTATATCCTAGTCTTATGCTAGAATTTGAAATTGTATTACGCAGAGTGTGCACTAAAATCCTCTGATCATGACTGTTATTGTCCTGCAGTTCTGGTGAGGCAGATACGACATTTTGGGCTTGGGGCACAGCCAGTCATTTATATTACCAAACTCATGACTCCTAAACCTCATTTCTATCACTGGCTTTTCAAGTGGACTTTTGAAAAGCTCATCTTTGCTCATCTCACACTCACCCTGCCACAGACAATGGAAAGGGCTCTCCAGTAATGCATATTGGGGTCTGAATCTTAGCTCTGCCCAAATGAAAACAGATGGCATTGGCCAAGTTTCCACATCTGAACCTCAGCCTCCCATCAACAAAATGGAGTTTTACCCACTTTCATGACACCTAATAATCCTCATGAATAGCCTTACTTGTAAAGGGTCAAGAATGTACGAACGTACTCTTCGGTATTACCTTTCTTCCAGTTTCTCATTCTTAAAAATTATACTATTATAGCCTAAAAGCTCATTAAAAAAAAAAATCTACCTTTGTAAATTTGAGATTATGGGTCAAACAAGAAAAAGTAACTCTACAATGACATACATACATACATAAGCAAGCAAGCAAAACAAAGTAACTGTTCTTGAGCTAGTGGGATGATTAAGGAAGGAACTTCACGGATGGACCATGGATAGACTTGCTGGGACCTTTCAAACAGGGAAGTATTGGAAGGCAGCAGACTGTAAAGTTGTCTGAGAGATCCAGGGCCCAACCCAAAATCCAACACACCACAGAGCTACTGTCTTTTCCAGATGAAGGCTAAAAAAGCTAATCAGTACCTAGACCCAGCTCTATGTCAGAAAGAACAAATTTCTCCGAGTCCAGCTCAGGACAGAAGAGCATGGGTGACTCAAGAAACTCCATTTATTGACCTCCAAATCTAATAAAACTAAGAGCTCTGCACAAGTGTTTTAAGTGTTGACCTTTTCCCCAATGCTCTGGTCACTGAAGTCAGCTCATTTTTGTTTCTGTAGCCTCTGTATCTGTTTTCTGAGATGCTAAGAGGGCTTCGCGTGCCCGTTTCCTTCGCAGCCTCTCAGCATTTGTGATCATCATGGGATGCAGAGGGAAAAAGCCAGAAAGACCTAAAAGCAACAGGATTTTCATTCATTATAACATGGTATAAGTCAATGTTTCCCTGGGAATTTAGCCTCACAGAGCTGAGGTCTAACAGAGACCTGACTTACAGCATGGATTTAAAACATGCTCCCCTCTCGCCAAACTGTCATATCTCTTCCCCTAACTCCCTCCCCTTCATTTACTACAAGGAGATAATGGATGTTACTTCCTAAAGCTAATGTCCTTATTTGAAAAAAAGATAGGGGCGCCTGGGTGGCTCAGTCGTTAAGCATCTGCCTTCGGCTTAGGTCATGATCCCCGGATCCTGGGATCGAGCCCCGCATCGGGCTCCCTGCTCAGCAGGAAGGCCGCTTCTCCCTCTCCCACTCCCCCTGCTTGTGTTCCCTCTCTCGCTGTGTCTCTGTCAAATAAATAAATAAAATCTTTAAAAAAAAGATAAATGGACAGATAGCCATTCAAGACACACTATTCCTATTTTCAGTACAAAATCCCATTCACCCAAAAAGTCTCATAAAAGAGTCCACAAAAGGGGTCTCCAGTCAAAATGACAATTAGATCACAACTTCAGCTTTCACTCTAGCCCTGAGCAGCCTAAGGTAATGAAAATCATTCCTAACTCTTATCATCCTGAAACTGACTTCACCTTAAAATCCCCTCAATGAAGTAAGGCTAGAGGTGAGTTACCCAGAAGCTTCTCCACAGGCTTAGAGAGGTGGGCCCCACAGCCGATCCAATGCCGGATCCGGTCTAGGTTGAGAGCAACGATTTTCTCTCCGTGGCTGTTGGGCAGTGGATCATAGGAGCCCAGCTGCTCCACGAAACGGCCATCCCTGGGACACTTGTTGTGAGCAGCCACAATGCGGTAGAAGGGCCGGTTGGTACAGCCACTTAGGGCAAGGCGGATGGTTAAATGGCCTCCGCGGTAGGCTCTGCACAGGACAGTAGCTGTAGAGAAATAAGTTAACACAAGAACCGAGTACATAAAATGGGCAAAATGAGGTAGATAAAACAAGCCCCTTCCTCAACTGAAACATCCTTACATCCAACCAATTACTGTCAACCCGGTTTAGATAATATATTCGTGAAACTCCTCTCATGCACTTCAGCCAGAAATGACTACCTCCTCAATCCGCTCAACACCAGCCTGCCATTTAATACCCCTGTGACCACGACGGAGCCTCAGCTGCCTAGTCTATAAACCGAATGCCATTTGTCTCATAATTGAGGAAGGATTAAGTGAGAAAAACCTGAGGAGAGAGACAAACGTAAGGCAGTGTGGTTGTTTCAGGTTCGGGTTGCCTCCAGCTCGCCTAAGAGAGCTGCTTCGTCGGGTCCCACACGCCCCTCCCCCGGCCCCCGCGACCGCCGGGAAGGGCACTCACTGAGCCGGACCATGGTGCAGCCGGCCTGCGCCGAGGCCTGTGTGCCACTTGCCGCGCCTCCAAGTGCGCTGCCGCCCGCCACCGATTAGCTCTACGGCCTCGGCGGGGAGGGCGGCGGGGGGGGGGCGGTGGAAGAACGCGGAGAAGTCCACACTGCGACACCGCTGACCTCACCACCCCCCCCACCCAAGCCCTAGCGCCCCGGTGCAGGAAGCGAAGACTCCGCTCGCCCCGACCCTTCCGCTTTCCCGCACCTACACTTCCCATAATGCAACGCCGTGAACCCTAACATGCTTTAAACTGCCGCAAAAAAGGCGCGCTGCAGTTTGCGTGTAGCTGGGGTCGTAGTGCGAGCCGGACTGTCCGGGTGTTCTCGGCCTGCGCAGGACTGTGGGTTCGTGATGAAGTGAGGAATATTGGGACAATCCCAGGGAGCGGGCAGAAGTGCTTAAGTGTTGCACAAATCCATCCTGCACTTGTTAGAGCCGAGGCGCAGTGCTGAGAACTAGCTGAAAGGGCGCTGTCCTGCCCCTAGGAAGCTCAGAGTCAAGTGGGGAGATGCTGAGTTTACACCGGAGTCAATAAAGGTGGTCACTACACAGTCCTGGGGGAGCAGAGGACAAGGGAACCTGATACTTGCTTGGTGTTTCAGGAAGACTTCATAAAGGAAGTAGCGTTAGAACCAAGACTATACACGGACTATAAATGAACGCAGGTTTTATTTTATTCTTATTAATATGCCTCCACATTCCCTCCTGTTCTCCCACTTCCCTCCTATTCTCTGCACCTTCTTTAAAAAATTAAGAGGAGTCTATTCCTGGTTTTGCTATGCAGTGATCCAGGAGGACAGGAGTGAAGTATGGTTCCTTTGTCATCTTTAGCCCTAGAATACTGGCCTCAGTTGAGAGGAGTTTTGCATCTATAAGTTAATGGACTGTTCTTGGAGCCCTTGTGATTTAGGTCCATGAAGATACCTGTGGTTAGAGGTAGTCAGTACCTCCACCTTCAGCAAAGACTTCTCTGTTCAGCTCTGTTCACCACTGGATCCAAAGGGTCTGGCCACAACTAATGTTTGTCCCAATACAGTGACCCAGCATAGCAGTCTTCCTTTAGGCCCACCTTAGAAATTGATGCCTTAATTCTCAAGTTCCAGGAAGTGAACCTAGCCAGAGACCTTAGAAGTTGACTTCCAGGAATGACTTGATAAGTTTTTACCAGAAACCCTAATAATGAACCCACTTTACTTTAATTATGTAAATAAATAATTATATTCTTACATATACCTCAGTAGACCTTAATAACTCCAGAACCACACTGATGAATTTTGAATCTTTTTCATTTTTTATTGTTACTCAGTTTACTGTCAATCTGTAAAATATCCAGTAACAGCCATCCAGTAAAACAGCCAATGGAAATAAATGAATGGGTTTCTGTTTATGGTATTTTCCATTCCCAGGCCTCATATGGTGAAATGTCCAGGGCTTAATCTCTCTGGGAAGGAAAGGAGCTCAGAGTCCCACATAGAATATTCTTCAGCTGGAAGGATGTCAGAAGGATGGATTTCCAAAGCCAACCGTCTCCTGTACCATGTGGATCTCTGCAAGCAGAGCCTTATCTTTTAGTTTCAGCTGCATAAGAAGAAGGAAGGGGAGGATACATATCATACCTGATATACCTATGTGGAGACCCCTCATTTACTGGGACACAGAGAATATAGTTCTTGGCTTGAAACTGGGCTCTTCTTATATTCCCTATTCATTCCCTATTTCATGGTAACTCCGTTAAAAGACCTCAGAATGTTGTGCTGATTACATGGACATGTTCACTTTATGAAACTTCAAGTAGTATGAACATTTACAGTTTGTGTATTTTTTTGTTAAATAACTTTAATAAAGTATTTTTAAAAGAATTCACATTATCACCCAGTCTATCTTGACTACAGTATTCCAGTTTGTCAAGTCACAGGAATCAAAGACACACAAAACAAAGATATTAGATCTGAATTTATTTTTAGCCTCTAGATGTGTAGTAGAGATAGCTAGTTGCTTACTGAATACCCACTCTCCTTTCTTTCTAACAAAATCTTCGTTTTTTTTCAGGGCAGGAATGCAGCCAGCTACAAAGTTCCACTTCCTTCTTCCCTTAGAGCTAGGGGTAGTCTTATGACCAGTTGTGGCCAATGAAATGTAAACCTTCCTCTGGAAATGATTTTCTTTATCATCAAATACTATGTACATGTGAATTAAACTTCTTTATTTTTCAGGAGTAGACACACCATGTTTCAGGTGTACAACGTAGTGATCTTAAGTCTGTACATTACGCTGTGCTCACAAGTATAGCTACCATCAGTCACCACACAACACTATTACAATACCATTGGCCATATTCCCTATGCTATATCTTTTATCTCCATAAAGTCATTGCTTCTTAAAGGGAGGTGAAATAGCTAGCATGTCCTCTTTGTTCTTTCCTCCCTTTTGTTCTTTATTGTGCCTGAAACATGTATATGGTGGTTTGAGTTACAATGCCTGTCTTGCAACTGTGAAGGATGGGAACTGCATGCTATGATTGGTGGAACAGAAAGATAGAGTTTGGGTCTCTGGTGACATGGTGGAGCTCTGGTACAAGCCTTGGGCTTTTCATTAGATGAGAAAAATAAAACTAATTTGTTTAAGCCACAAATTATGAACTGTAATTCATAGTAGAATAGACCGGGGGTTGGCAGATTACTGTTCATGAGCCAAATCTAGCTTAATGTTTTTGTTAAGTAAAGTTTTATTTGAAACACAACCATGCTCATTTGTTTATGTATTGTCTATGGCTCCTTTTGCACTACAAGGGCAGAGGGTAATAGACACAATAGAGACAGTTTGGCCCACAAAGCCTAAAATACTATTTTTCCCTTTACACAAAGTTTGTTGACCTATACCTTCAGTCTACAAGTGAGGAAAATGAGGCTCAAAAGAAGTTAACACAGTAGAGTTAGTGGCAAAACTAGGACCATAATTCAGGTCTACTAGCTCCCTGGCCATCTGTCTTTCCATTAAACCAAATTCTCTAAAGAGGTAGAAACCGCCCCCCCCCAACACACACTCGTGTTCTCTCTCTAGCTCTGCTCTCTCAAAAAATAAATAAAATCTTTAAAAAAGGGGGGACGGTGTGCCTGGGTGGCTTGGTTGGTTGGGTGTCTGCCTTTGGCTCCAGTCATGATCCCGGGCTCCTGGGATTGAGCCCTACATCGGGCTTCCTGCTCAGCAGGGAGCCTGCTTCTCCACCTCCCTCTGCCCTCCACCCCCAGCTTGTTCTCTCTCCCAAATAAATAAAATCTTAAAAAAAAAAGAGGTAGAAAAAAATCCCCCATAGTAATATGTGGGTTATTCCAAACCCAGCAGCCTTATGATAATGGCAAAGATGCTAAGAAAAGCCTTTAGAAAAATATTCACATCATGAAATGATGGAATGCTGTAAAGTTCTGAATTCAGCCAGCATCTTCTTCCCAGTTTCCCAACCTCTGTACAGTACAGACAAACAGCAGAGGCCTCTGCATCGTACCTTCATTGTGTACTTATAGGCCTGCTCTGCTTCCAGTTGCCGTCCAGCCTGAAAAAAAAGAGCAGCAGCTGGTGATAATGACATATTATAAACGTTATAGTGGGAAAGTACGTTGCTACAAACATTTCTACCAAAAGAGGACTCCATACCTTCTTTTTTTTAAGTTTTTTTTTTAAGATTTTTATTTATTTATTTGACAGAGAGCACAAGCAGGGGGAGTGGAAGGCAGAGGGAGAAGCAGGCTCCCTGCTGAGCAAGGAGCCCTATGTGGGACTCGACCCCAGGACCCTGGGATCATGACGTGAGCCAAAGGCAGACGCTTGACCAAGTGAGCCAACCAGGCATCCCTAGAATCTCCTTTCCAGACAAACACGTGAGTGTATGATTTTTGAGCACATTCCAAGTAGCAGCTTCTCAGACTGGGCCTCTCCTCCCTCATCAGTATAATGACCAAATCTGTAACCTCAACTATCATGCATTAATGGCCATCTACCTATCTCTTGCCTCACTTACTTCCTTACATCTTTGCCCTAAAATGGCACTGTGTAAGGTTAATAAACACTCACTTTCAGGCTGACCAGAGCCAGATATGCCCATACTTCAGCATTGTAGTTGTTCAACGCATTGGCTTCAGAGAGAGCATCCTCAGCCTCTGTGAGCTCCTCCAGCTTGATAGAAAGAGAAAAGTGTGAGTTAAGTCAGAGCAGTTTTCCCTTAAGCCAGCTGGAGTCAGTTTAGCTGAAAACATTATGTCCAAATAACATTGGTAATGTGACCTATACAAACAGTTTTCAACTTTTTAAAATTTTAGCTCAGAACTTTTTCTTCAAACAAAATTTTATGTGGTAGCCCAATATATGAACATGTTAAAAGAAGAACTGCTCAGATTAAAAAGCCAAGTAGAGAAATCTGGAGTCCCGCCTGCTAGGCTCTCAACTTACACCCCTCTCTTCCTCCTTCCCTCTACAGCAGTTCCATCAGGGCATCCATGAACCATGGAGCTTCGGGTACCAGGATTGGAAAACCAGAAGTATTCACTACCGTGCTTGCATTGTTCAGTGATTTCCCCACACACAGTAGGATGTCAGATATATTTGTTGTCAGTTTAGCTGAAAACATTATGTCCAAATAACATCCCTTTCTTGTGCACCCCTTTCTTTCTTTTTATTTATTTACTTATTTGACAGAGAGAGCAGGAGAGCACAGTAGAGGGAACAGTAGAGGGAGAGGAAGAAGCGGGCTCCCTGGTGGGGCTCGAACCCAGGACCCTGGGATCATGACCTGAGCCAAAGGCAGACGCTTAACCATCTGAGCCACCCAGGCACTCCTGTGCATCCCTTTCTTAAGGTTAAAGTCCTATTAGCCTGTCAAAATACTAATATTAGTTATTAATAGCACGATCTTGAGTAATCAATACAATATTCAGGCTCTAGAATGCTCCCTGAGCTCTGCACACATGGATATCATTGCTAGTTCCTAAAAGTGAGTTTGCTTTGTAAAATCTTCCAAAAGATCACCTAAGGAAGAAATAAGGCACTCCTCTCACCAGTATAGTAGCTCTCCATTTTTTTCTGTTTTGAAAAGAAAATTATGGTTTTCTAGGCCTGAAACAATATGAAGAGTGGCCTTTCAGCAATGCCTATACTTTGGTCCATGTTTTAAATGTCTCTAAGATATTGATTCAATA